CAGTGATGAGACAGAGAAGCATGGACGCACAGATACATAGAGAAGAGGCCGCATGGAAACAGAGGCCGAGAAGGGAGTGATGCAGGCACGGGCCGGGGAGCCCCGGGGCAGCAGAGTGGGCGAGAAGCGAGAATGTGCCCTTCCTCCAAGGTCCAAAAGGGGCCATCGTGCTGCTATCTTGACTGCAGACTTCTGGTCTCCAGGCAGTGAGAGAAGAAATGTCTGTAATCTCAGGAGCCCGCTTTGTGACCATCTCTTACAATAGCTCCAGGAGCTAATACAGATCTCTGCTCTTTTGCATTATGTTTTTTGTGATGGCAAGATAGACATAACATGAAACCTACCATTTAAACCATTTTAAACATATGATCCAGTGGCCTTAATTACTTTTACAATCTTTACCACTATTTTCAAAACCTTTGCATTACCCCAAACAGACGCCAAGCCTGAGTCCCCACTCCTTTCTCTCGGTGCCCGGTAACCTCTGGTCGCCTTCCTGTCCTGTGAATGTGTACATGTGTGTTTGAACCTCCTTGGTAATAGTAATGTCAAGTTTGGGGGTCCCTGGCTTCGATGGTGCCATGGCCAGCGCTAAGGGCTCCCTGTATGTTACGTCACGTGACTGTTGTCATGGCTGCCGCCCTTCACTCTAGTGGACAGTTGAGGGAGCGGGGAGGGTAAGCAGCACCGAGAAAACTTGGACCAGGGTGGCATTCTTGTTAAAACCCAACCTTGGAACCTCACTACCACGTTTCCTGGCACCTACTAGGCCTCCTCCACTGTCAGTTAAGTTGCATTGGCATTCTCCATGCTGCACTGCCCAGCCACCCTTCCCAGGGTAAATCTTGGAGAGGTGTCAGGGAGAGCTGCCTGGGTCCCAGCTCTGAAAAGTATGTGGTTTTTCCCAGTGGTTGCTTTTCTCTAATTGACATGGCCAAGCTTCTTTATTACAAGGCACTGTTCCAAATGTACCAGGCAGCCCAAAGAATGGGAAATGATAGGGGACTTGAGTGCAGCATATATAAAGAACTCTTCCCGCTCAATGACAAAAGAATTAACTGAAAAATGGGCAGAGGCTGTAAATAGACATGTCTCCCAGGAAGATGCTTGGCTAGTCAACAAGCACATGAACAGATGCCCAATGCCATGAATCATCAGGAAAGTGCAAATCACAACCACAGCAAACCGACACCCACCAGAATGGCTAGGATCAAAATGCAGGTAATAGCAAGTGTCGGCCAGAGGGTGGAGCCTACGTGGAGTCCTTCCACACCGCGGGTGGGAGTGCCCAGTGATGCAGCTGCTTTGGCAAATAGCCTGGCAAGTCCTCAAACCATTAAACAGTTGCCACAGCAATTCCACTCCTTGCTGTACATCAGAGAGAACTGAACACATATGTTCACATAAAAACCTGTTCACAGACTTTATGGCAGCATTGTTCATCATAACCCAGAGGTGGAAATTCCCGCCGGCTTGTGGATAAGCACACACAGGGGGATCATTTCCAGCCTCACAAAGGGACGGCCTTCTGATGCATGTGACATCCAGGACCAACGGGATCCAATGGATCAATGTGCTTGGCGACATTGATCCCGTCACACGAGCCCACGTATTGGAGGAGTCCATCTGTGTGAGGGTCCCGAGTAGGCAGATCGATAGAGACGGTCTGGAGATTGGTGGCCACCGAGGGCTGGCAGCTGAGGGGATGTGAGGGTCAGTAAAGGGCATGGGGTGGTTTTGTAGGTGATGAAAGTGCTCTAAAAATGTCTGTGCTGATGGGTGCCTGTGTCTGTGAATCTACTAAAAGCCACTGAATTGCACCCTGAAAAGAGTGAATTGCATGTTGTATAAATTACACCTCAGTAGAGCCACTTTGTACTAAGAGCGGGGCTGGCAGCCGGGCCAGGCCCCCCTCTGGCTTCTGCCATGAGTGGCCCCACATGCAGCGAGGATCGCGCTCGGTCACTTCACACCAGATGCCCTGGTGCTGCGTTTCTAGCACCATGTGTCCCCGGAGCCGCATCGGGTCAGGGTGGTCAGATGTTGGCGTGTCCACGGCTGAGTGCTATGTTGGAAGACTTTAGCTGCACCCCCATGTGCACCACGGGTCACACTCATTGCTGCAGTGACGGGGCTGAGTGGAGTGGGGGTGACACGAATAGCTTATGCTTGAAATGATTTCAGTGGCTGAAGTGTAGAGTGGAATGTGGGGAGACAGAATGGAGCCAGGGAGGCCTTCGTGGAAGTCCCTGTGATGAAGCGCTCTGAGCTCAGGCATGAGCACCTGGGTGCCAGAGCAGACAGTCTGCAGGTACAGGCAGGCAGGAATATGGGGCTGGCTTTGCAGAAATGAAGAAAGGAGGGTTTGGGGTTGCTTGGATACTTGTCCTGGGGCACCTGGGTGTCGTGTCCTCCGTCTAGGAGGCTGGCTGTCTAGTGTCTCACACTGGGTAGAATTCACAGTGGTCTGGGTTGAAGGGTCTGTAAGATCACCTGGTCCTAATTTTATTTTAAGTAATTTTACATTTATAAACTCTGAACCTCAGAGAGGTTAAGTAACTTTTCCAAAGTCACATAGCAAGTCAACCAGACTGTAGCCTGGAACCCAACTCCACCTACCCCTACTGCAGCTCTCCTGGCCTCATCCTGCCCTGGCTGGAAAAAGGTCATTTTTCTGAGTCCTGTTAACTCTGTCCTTCCCAAATTTACACTCAGAGTCATTGGCCAGGGCATCCCTGGGGTTGCCATGACCGTTGTGAAACCCAGTTTTCTGTAGCTGCTTATTGATGGCATCAACAACAGCCTAGAGTTTCAGAGGAGTCTGCATGTTACAAAAAGGGCAGCAGGTGTTATTTGGGCTAAATTGACCTTGAAATTGATTTCTTTATTTTATGACTTACTGAGAGGAGATTAATACTTTTTTTTTCCTGCAGTCTGAAACAATTTACATGGTAATAGAAGGCATAGTCAGTCAAATAAATTGCTGGAAGTGGTAGTGTTCCAAGGGAAAAAAATACAGAGCTTACTTGCATTGATTTCTTTGCCCTGGGGAGAAGCAGAGATTTTAACATCTGGGATAGGGAGCTAAATTTTATCTCTCATTTTAAAAGCAGAGGACTGAAGAGCTTAATGTGACATTTACACGGAATTTTGTAAGTTGGGGGAAACCAGGCAACCCAGATTCCTTGCTGAAGGTTAACTGGTGCTTCTGCAGAAGGACTCTGGGTGGTTTGATCCAGGGATGACATTTTCAAGGGATGAGCCCTTGGCAACTTGGCTGACCTACTGCTGGGGAATGGGGCAATAAAAGTTGATGACATAAACTCATCCCTTGGGGCAGGTGGGGCTGTGAGGAACCGTGGAATTGGAGAGGCTGCCTTAGGATTTCCGGGCTTTGCCTTGTGGCTACCCTCCCCATTGGATGGGTTGTGAGATGGATTCTGAGGCTCCATCTGGGCAGCAGCACTCCATTAGTACTGTCTGCCCTGGGGACAAGAGGGGCAGCTAGAACTTGCGTGCTGCCACCTAAATTTCCTGGCAAAATCTATTAACATATCTCCCTAAATGCCCACATTTCTGCATTCAGATCACATTGTCAGGGATCCTGTCCTTCCAAGTGACCCCAAATCATTCACCACGTTATGTGAGCTAATTCCCCCCCCCCCAAAAAAAAATGCCAAGGAATGAATCCTACCTAAAAAGCTCTTCTAGTATTTCATGTGTTTTTCCGGTAAATTATTTTCTTTTAAAAGTAAGAATTTTAAAGTAAGATAAAAAAATTTAATCAATAAATTAATTACTAATCAATAGTATACAATTCAAGAGTCAGAAGAGCAAATTAGCTCTGCTAGAAAAAAGTCAGTCTTAAAAAAAAAAAAAACCCAACGAGTTTCTTATCGATCTCTTGGGAGTTTCAGTGCCTATGTTACATAGTGTGTATGTCTGCTGAAACAATGCTCAGATCGTGATACATTCTGCACATTACTCTGTATCACACTGTTTTCCCTTCCATATTGGGGCAGGAGGGTGGGGCAGGGGGCAGCTCCCTGGGGCAGGAGGGTGGCCGGCCCTGCCGTGGTCAGTGCGGGGCCTCGTGGGGGAGAGTGTCAGGGGGAGCAGGCCTGGGTGATTAGCCACCTAGGACATCCTGGCTCAGCCGTGGCCCGCCGCGCCCCTGCTGGGCTGCTTTGGATGACTTCTCAGCCTCTCTGTTTCTCTGCCTGTGAACCGGGGCGAGATCATCATTGCATCTAACACCCTCCGAGATAAAGAAGAAAAGGCACAAGAGCCCTGGGCACACGCCCACTGCTGTTGGGGTGAAACATGGGGCGTCAAGCCCCCCACCCCGGGGTGACGGGGGCCAGTGTGGCTCTGATCCGCGTCCTCAGCTGGGCTGGACTGTCCACACCGGGAGGAAAAGCGAGTGAGGCCGGCGCGCCTGAGAGCAGCCCCACCAGTCACTCGCGCGATTTGCGATTTGCCATCTGGGGGGGCGAGGCACATTAAAAAGTAAAGAGAAACAGATGAAATTAATTGTAATAATATATTTTATTTTAAATATTCATACTATATTTATATATTTAAATAGAGTACACTTTATTTGATATATTATTAAGTATTGTCATTCTAACCTGTAATTGATATAAAAATATTAATGAGATATTAATATTCATGAGATATTTTACGTTCTTTTTTTTTATTAGTGGCTCCAAAAGCCAGTGTGTAATTTATAGTCACAGCACATTTCAACTCAGACTAGCCACACGCCCGTGGCTAGTGGCTGCTGTGCTGGGCAGTGCGGGTGTCCACCCCTCCGGGAGGGGGAGTCGGGGGGAGAGATAGACAGAGACAGAGCGAGGAGAGACAGAGACAGACGGGGGGAGAGCACTGTGGCTGTCTCACAGACTCAGACTCAGGGACCCTGCTAATCGGGGTTACTCCAAATTAGAGTTTCCCCCAACCTGGGCTCCCCTACCTATTTCTGTTTCTGTTTCTGGCAGGACCACACCCCTGACGGCGCGGGCCTCCTCTCCAGCGCCAGGAGCAGTCCACAGGGCTCCGTAAGTAGCAGCATGTGCTGAACAGATTAGACTCTGAAGCCGCGCTGGCTGGCTTTTCAGCCTCCCTGGGCTCCGTCGTCCATCACGGGAGTGGTTTTTACCTGAAACTGATCCTGCTGGGCCGGGCTCTCAACCCAGACAGCCTCCCGGGAGTGGCTGTGGCTGGAGGGGGCTGGTGGCCTGGCTTCCTGCTTCCTTCCGTGAGGATGGGGCCTGCCGTGCTGGGCGGGGTGGCGGGAGTTGATGTTTGCTGGTCGTAAAGGCCTGAGCGCCGAGGGGTCCGTCTGTGGCACTGGACTTGGGGTCACCAGGCCACGTGGCCGTTGATGGAGCTGGCTGAGGGTGCCCCTCGGGTGTCCCTCTCCAGGGGCGGCCTCCGGGTGGGGTACGCGTGTGCACGCCGTGACCTGCGATGGTCCTGGGGCAAATGGGCTCTGGCTGCTGCTGTTCACCGGTCACCACACGTTTGCTTTCCTGCTTGTCTCGGGGGTGCGACGCCGACTCCCCATTGATGGCCGTGATGGGATATTTCCCTGGAAAATATTCACGTTAAAAAAATGAACCTATGTCAAGGAAAAGTAGTGTGGGGATAGTAACCACGTCGGTGCGGCCAGACGAGGGCGGGAGACCAGGTGAATTCCTCCCCAGACCTGCCCCGGTGTGCTCCGCGCCTGGCAGGCTCCTCCGCGCTGCCCAGCCTTTGCCCACACTGGATGCAAACTGGAATCTCGAAGGACCCAGCTCTTGGTTGTGTCTGTTCTCCCAGTGGCCTTTGAGGCCGGGTTTTCATAACCAAGCGCACTGCTGGGCGCTCTGAGGGGAGCACTGGCCCGGTCGCGAGAGCAGGGGCGGGAGGGCTGAGCAGGGAACCCCCCCACTCTCACCCCTGCTCGAGTCCTCGGGTCTGTTCTCACTCGGCGCCTCCCGTGAGCCTGTAAGGTAAGTGCTGTTTCCGTCTCATTTTGTGGGTGAGGAAAGGAGAGCACAGGAGGCCACAAGGCCAAGGCCGCAGCCAGACACCCTCCCTGTCACCGGGCGCAGCTGTGTGGGTTCCGGAAGGGCCTGTGTGGGTTCGCGGAAGTTGGAGGGGCCTTCGGTATCTCTGGCCACATAAGCCTTAGCCTGGACATCAGGGATACAAGGACGACGCTTGCTCTCTGGGGGTGCTTGGGAGGGTGCTTCTGGCCGGTGTCTGGCTGGTGCTGCACCTGAAGGCCTCCCGGGGCCAGGGAAGCGCTTCTGAGATGCCCCTGAGGTGCGTCTGGGTGGCCTCAGCCCCTCCTGGGGGGGCCTCCTGCCTCTTAGGGCTGCCACGTGTCCTTCTGGCCCATGGTGAGGGGCAGCACGGCCGTGTCACCACCTCTGCTGTGCTCTGTCCCGCCGACCAGCCGTGAGGCCTCGGGGCGCCGTGGAGCCAGCAGCCAGAGCAGGGCGCGGGCCGCAGGGAGCTGTCACATATTCACAAAACAGCCACCTCTTGTAGCCGCTCTCAGGATTCTTGCAACTTCACCCCGAGTCCATGAAGAGAAAACCAAGACACTGCGAACCCTGTGTTGCAGGTGGGAGTGGAGCAGGGGCGAGTGGGGCGAGTGGGGGGCTCTTTAGAGTCTTGGGGTTGGGGACATGGTGCAGAAACTTTGGATGGGAAAGTTGTTGGGAAAGCGGGGAGAGAGCACCCCACCGTAGCTGCCAGCTGTCCCGTCCACAGTAGGACCAGAGGTGGCTGAGACAGCGCTTAGAAGAGGCCGCTGGATTTTCTGCCATGTTGAGTTGGGCCCGAGACCCCTGGCCCCGGGCCCCCCTTGTTAAGACTGATGGACGCGACCAGGAGTCCAGATGCTCCCCCACCTGCTAGAGGCTGTGGGGTTTGGTGGACACACTGGGGAGGCCCTGTCCCCCTTCCCCAGCCCGGACCTCCCCACAGTGCTGGGCAGGGTCCCTCTGGCCGGTGCCCCGGGTGGCCCCCAGCCTGATGTGTCACAGGTAGAAGCAGTCGTTCCCGAGCCGGTCAGCAGATGGTCACCGGCGTGCCTGGTGCTCTCCTCACGTCCCAAGGCGAAAGGCGGCTGGCTCCGATCCAGTAATCACACCTGTCGGAATTTGTACCTTGTGGCAGCGGGTGGTGCGGGCTGCCGCGTCCGGGCTTGGCTGAGGGATGACTGTGCCGGCAGAGGGGGTGATCATAAAGGCCCAGCCTCTGTGCTCATCGGGAAGGGGCTGTTGAAGTGAATTATGTGCACCCGGAAAGCCCAATTCCAAGCTGCCGCCAGGATTTCGTAGCAAGGATTTATGTTTATTGACTTGGAAGGATGCTCGTGACATATTGTTGAGTGAGAAATACGGCATATATCATATGATTCCAATTATGTGCAATTATATTCATAGATCTCCCTTTCTCTGGATGCAGAGGGAGATGTCAGAGAGGCAGATGGGAGATTCAGCTAAATGGGTGGGTTCTGCATTTTTCTTGGGAATCATCTGGTTTTTTTTTTTTTCAATATACAGTGAGCAGTTATTTTCCTTGATAGCAGCAGTAATAATAATATAATAATTTGTAAAATTAAGCAGGGAGTTCTGGGCCTAGCAGGGCTTCCCAGATAGCTGATGGCATTTTTGTCAACGTTTCCTTCTCGGCTGTCATGGACCAGCAGCAGCCCCTTGGCGGAGTGAAGCGATGATGACAGGACCGGGCAGGGATGGAGACAGACTGTCGAGTCCTCACGGCCCTGGGGGCAGAAAGTCTCAGGCCCTGACCTCTCCCCCTTCCACTCTGCCCTGTGGTGCCAGCCAGCTCTGTGCCCCCACCTGCCCATGCCTAGAAAGGGCGGCTCCAGGAGCCCGCAGCTGCATCCACCCGCACCCAGAGTGAGGGACTAACAACGGTGTCTAGGAAGAGCCTGACCCTGCGCTTGGCACCCCAATGCGTTATATCACGTAACCCCCACCCAGAACCCCCACGAGGGAGGAGCTGTCCCCCTCCCGTCCCAGGGGACAAGCGAGGCTCGGAGGAGGGTGACCTGCTAGAGCCCCCGCAGCTGATGGGCTGGATCCAGGACTTGACGGAGCCAGGGCTCTTTCCCAGCTGAGAGGGCGGAGCTTCTGTTCAGCGGTGGAGGGAGCATGTCTGGAAAGCCCTGAGTTGGGGGGTGCAGTGTGGCGTCAGCAAGGTGGACCTCACACCTGATCAGAGTCACCTGCTCAAGTCTACCTTTCTGCCCGCAGCCAGCCGTGCTTTCCTCCAAGGCCAGGATGGACTGGATGGAGTCTGCCCAGGGGGCAGCGGCGGTGGTGGCACCGCGGTGATGGGCCACTGCACCCCACCACGTGCCTTTACACACTGGGGCGCATGATGAGGGGCACCCTGGGACTAGACGGAGCCAGGGGGCTCCTTTCTGGGGTTCACTGTGGCGCCAATGCTCCTGAAGCAGAGGTGTGTGTCTGCGTCTCTCATTTCTTCTGTTGCGATGACGCTGGAGACAGGTGAGCAGCAGGCCTCAAACTTCCACCTTGTTCTGCTCCTTCCAGAACCTGATTTCAAAACTTTTCTGAAGCCCAAATAGACTGTATTCAATTTCTTTGTAAACACTGAGCACACTGCGCGCCTAGCAGCTTACATGACACCTGTTTGTTTACTCCTGCTCAGCTGCCTGTGGCGTGGCTGTGATCTCAGTGTCGCTGAGGCCGAGGTCCTATCTGGACTTCCCAGGCCCCTAGGCTTGTAGGATGGAGGCCTCTGGGTTTCCCTGCTTTGGGGGCCCTCTGTGGGCAGGCCCACCAGGCAGCTCACTTTCTTGAGGTCAGCAGGCGAGTGTCAGGCTTGGTCGCAAGGTGGTCTCAGGCCCACCATCCACGTCAGCAGGAGTGGCATCCTCTTGCCTTCTCTTGGTTAGAAGCAGGGCACAGGGCCTGCCCTTGCCAGCGGAGGGGACACCACTTGGCAGGGCTGTGGGTCCGTCCTCCCTCAGTACAGTCCCTGAGGAAGGAAGCCCTCACCAGCGGAAGGTCCTCCTTGTCTCGGCCTCATGCAGGGCTCCAGCATCTTCCTGTCCAGCACCTGCCTGCACCCCACTACAGGGCACACAGCTGGACTCACGGCCTTCCTGTCCCCCCCACCTGCCTCCCGCCCTCCTCCCCACGCTGTGCACTGGGATGCGCCGCTGCAGCCTCGGCAGCCAATGAATATTTAATGGAATGCTGCCACCTTTTGGAATTTGGCAAAAGTGACCCGTGTTATTGAGAGGTGGATGGAGCCCAAAAGGAAACTGGGTCCTGTTCTGTCCATGCACAGGCCGCGCCCCTGCCCCTTCCACGCACCTGTCCTGGGCACTGCTCACCACCCCCGGGGCCTTCTCTCGGCTGGGGATTGGCAGAGAAGAAAACAAGGAAAACAAGAAAAGGAGTTGCTCTGAGCAGGTCTGCGCCCCACTCGGTCCATAATGACAAGGCGGACAGGCCTGCTCCCTGTCCTGCACCCCTGAGCGGCAGAGGATGGAGGCGAGCTTTGGGGTGCTGGGCTGTGAGAGGAGGCTGGCCGGGTATCTCAGGGTGCACACCCCTGACCCCAGGCCCTGCCACCCGTGGGCAGCCGTGGATGTGGTGCCACGCACTGCGGGTCCGCCAGGGAGGGGCATCTGCCTGGGCGTCCTGGCAGCAGCGCCCCAGGGCCTAACCCCGCCATTGGGGGGGTTTGCTCATGGACAAGCACAGCAGCCACCAAGCACCGTTGGGCACAGGGCAGCCCCACCTCCCCACTGCTTCCCTCCCGCAGGTGCCAGGACCCAGGCCCGCAGCGCTCATCCACGCTCCCCAGCGGGCCCTGCCGGCCCCGGTGCCCATGCAGTGCTGGATTATACAGCAGCCCTGACCCCTCCACTCCCGGTGTTTCCCTCGCCCCGGGTCAGCCTTGCCGCAGGGCTCGCTCCGTGGTCAGTAGCTGCAGGCGCCGCGAGACTACAGTGCAGACTCCTCTGCTTCCACGGTGCCTCGCCCCATCCTGCGGTGCCCCCGCATCCTCCTGTCTCTGCGGGCCACAGCCCCCGTGCGCCCGTGCTCAGGTGATGCCCGCTGCTTCAGGTCCCCTGCAAGTCGAAGGAAACTTCTAGGTTCCTAACCATCCGTCAGGATCCACTGGAAAACCCTTGCCACAAACGCCCGTCTAACCCCCACGGGCGGCGCGAGTGGCTCTTTCCACTGGAGCCCGCCCCCTCACCCCCTTCTCAGCCAGCTCCCCCTTCCCGCCCTTTAAACACGCAACACCGCCCTCACTGCCGCGAGCTGGAGGATCAAAGAGGAATACGAGGAAAGACAAACAAGGAATAAAGAGAAACCCATGCTGGAGGCACAGTCTGCTTGCTTCTTAGTGGAAGCGAATCGCCATAGGCACCAGTCGCCCAGAGAGTGGCAAGAGACGGCTCCAAGGAAGGGGAGACACTTAGGGGCCCGAGGGTGTGCTCAGAGGGTGAGCTCAGGGTGTTCGAAGGTGCCGCAGGCCACGGGCTTCTGTGTAGCTAGATTCTGAGGAAGGGATGGTGGAGACCAGCAGGACAGCATCCCGGAGCTCCATGGTGGACCTGGAGTTGAACTTGACTTTGGTGTGTGGCCCTGTAGGGTCTCCAGCTGGTGAGCATTGTGACCCTCTCTGCACCTGAGCAAGATCTCTGGGTCCTGGCTCAGGAGGCCAACCTGCCAGAGGACGCCTGGGGACCCCTGGGGCCTTTTTCACTGGTCAGCCCCTGCACAGCAGCCTCTGGAGGAGCAGAGGGGCCCTGCCAGACACCCAGGCCTCTCGTGGCTAACAGGCCTTTCTGGAGCATCTTCTTGGCTGAAAACCAAGTGTGCGAATGAGAAAACAGCATTAAGAGCAGAAGGACAAAGCTGATACTCAGGGAAGGGAGACATGGAGACTTAAATTCATTTCCTTCAAAATGCAGCACGAGTTTGGCCACGTGATGCTGACGGCAGCCAGCCAGGCTTGCCAGCATGAGATGCTAAGTGGCAGACCCCGGGCAGAGTCTGCCGGTCCGGGAGCCTCCCTGCCACTTCCCTCCACCACTTTCTGCCAGATAAAAGAGGAAATCTATTTAGTGACTTCCTCCCAACCCCGCCCCCCGCCCCCCACCCTCCGGAAGGATGGTGCCTCAGGGATACTGACTGGTTTCCACTGTCAGCTCAAACTTCAGGCCAGGAGCAGAGTCCTCTCTGCCCTCACCTCCTAGTGAGCCCCTAGAATGCCTTGGACACTGGACAATTTCTCATTGCTGAAGTGAATGGATGAATGAATCTGTCTGATTGATTTGGGGTGTCTCAAGTCTCCCCATCCTCGGCCAATGCTCCCTTTCCTCACCTGTCCTTTGATTCCTTCACAAAGGCTGATTTTGCTCGTTCACAACTGCCTTCTTTCTCTTAGGCATCCCTGGGTGAATCAGTCACAGGCCTGAGTCTTTGCCGGCAGCTGTTCTTTTAGACAGTTGCGTAGTATTTCACTGTGAGGTCCTGCGCAGTTGATTTACCTGTTCCCCCACTGACAAGCACGTGGGCCATGCACAGCCCTGGGCCTGCTGTTGGGTGGCCACAGGTCCCCACTCCTCCTGGGCAGAGACTGAGGTATCTCGTCTGGTCACAGAACAGACCTGCATTACCTCGAGCAGCCACCTCCCAGAAGCATCCAGTCACTCCCACCCCGACGGCTGTGAACCACACCTGTGCCCTCAGCCCTCTGGGTGCATGTTAGGAACTCCCCGGGGGCAGTTGTGGCTGTACCTTCCAGTTCACTGCAGGGCAGAGCCTAAGCTCCCCTGGTGATGGCCACGTGTGAATCAGAGGGTGGACCCCAGCAAGGACCCAGCACACAGAATGGCAGCAGCTGCCAGGCAGCCACAGCGCATGGGTCCCGGGCATCTGGCCTCTTCCAGGGAGGCCTTGACCTGGGAGGGAGGCCTTGACCTGGGAATGCCGTGCGTGGGCTCTACAAGCAGCCTGCAGCAGACTTGCAGCTCTGCCACCCACTCTGTGTCAGCTGGGGCAGGCGGCTGGGCCCTTGCCACACCAGTCACATCTGTGCAATGGAGCTGATCCTCATGCTGTTTTAGGGTGAAATGAGTTAATCTGGGTGAAGCCTTAGAGGTGGGCACTAGGAAGGGTTGGTTGTGATGATGATGATGATGATGATGGTGGTGGTGGTGATGGTGGTGATGATGGAGGTCGTGATGGTGATGATGTCAGCTCTGCCCAGCTCTAGCCCTGGAGTCCTCTCTGCTCCTTGGGCCAGCCAGCTGCAGTCTTTTTTTTTTTTTTTGAAGACTTATTTATTTATTTATACAAGAACTGGGGTACAGGCTAGAGGCGCAGGAGGGTGAGAGGATTCACCAGAGACAGAGTGGGGAGCAGAACAGTCAGACTGACTGAAATACACTGCTGAGGGGAGCAGCAGGTGACAGGAACAGTTTGCCACGCCATGTGGGTGTCTCCCTGGCCGGCTGGGAATCAAACCCATGCTGCAGAGGCTGTGGGCAGCTTCGCAGCACAGCGCTCAACCCACTGCGCCACTGGGGAGGCCCGCCAGCTGCAACCTTAGCAGCTGTAATAGTTGGCAGGCAGGCTGCATGGTCCTCACCCCATCCTCCACCCTCTGAAGGTAGCTGGCTTTCCTGATGAAATCCAAAATATCATTTTGAGCCCTGATCACTGGCTTCACAAAGCCGCTGGGGTTTTGTCCAGCAGGTCCCTTCTGAAATGAGTCTCTGCTCTTCGGTGCCCCTAATAAGAAATGCAGTCTGTTTGCTCAAGGTTTTACCCTTTATAGAAATGGTCAGATTCTTTTCTTCCCCCATCTCCATTCCGTAAATCCATGCCAAATATTGATGTTTGATAACTACAAATATCACACATAGCTTTTAATCAAGAGAGACGAAGGAACTTAGAGGAAGTAAATACATCTCTGTAAGGTAGTTCAATACTCTCAGTCATGATTTTGCTGAGAAATAAAATGACTGGGTGGGGGAGGGATCCGTAATGTGGATCGAAATGGACTTGATTACCTGTAACACGCTGGGCCACACCTGGGCTCCTGCTCCCAGCCCATGGCAGGGATTTGAATTCGATGTTCGTTACCAGTGTTGGGAGATGCTGTCTCATTTTAGGTGAGATTTTGTATTTTAAATGTGAATTTTAAATGTGAATTTCCAGTAGGCCATGAGCTTATACTATTACTAGCAAAACATATTGAACCGACTTCTGTTTTCTGTTGGGGCTTGTCTGAGATGGGAGTGGTTCGTGAGGGCCTGCTGGGCCCTCTCTCTGGAGGGATGCCAGTCGCTGCAGGGGGAGGTCTGCCTCCAGGCTGACGTCTGCCAGGGGTGCAGTTCCCTGTAGGGACAAGGGGCAGTGTTGGCCTGGACTGTTGCAGGTTCATGCATGTAGAGGTGTTCAGGCAAGGTTGGCCCAGGGCTGCTTTAGCCCAGAGTGTGGCCAAACCAAGTGAGACCTCGTGACCTGAAGTCAAGCCCGTGTGCGCACAGTGGCCTCCAGCACCTGGCCAGCAGCCGCGCGAGGAGGGAGCAGGGCACCAGTGGGGCGCCCCTCCCACCAGCGCTATAGCCGCTGTCGTTTTAGCTCCAGTAGACTTTTCTCACCCTTCAGTAACCTTTTGCTTTGTATTTTCATGTCCTCAACTTCTAACTGATAAAAATGGCCAATCTCAGAAGCCAGTGGCAACAAAACCCAATGATTCATCCATCCATCCATCCATCCATCCAGACAGCCAGCCAGCCACGCACCTACTCACCTCCACGACATCCACATGTCCCAGGTGCTGTGCAACTGCTGGGCTGTAATGGTCAGCCAGGATACACGTGGCTCTGCCCTCTTGGAGCCTACGGTCCAGTGGAAGAGACGGGATTCAGCAGATGTCCCTACTGGAAAACGTCTTCACAGAGACGAGCGTGCCGTGAGGAGGAATGTTGCTCTGGGAAGACCAGTTACAATGAAACCTGACCCAGATGGTGGGTACCTCTAGGGTCCCCCAAGGGGGTGACTCATGGGCTGAACTCTGAAGCAGGAGTGTAGCATCAGGGCAAGGGCAGGGTTAGAACAGAGGGGACAGCATGTGCCAAAGCCCTGTGGTCAGAGGGGAGGGTGATTTCCAGGCACTGTCAGGTCAACCAGAATGGCTGTTTGCTAGATGAGGCCAAAGGGGTCAGCAGCACAGGATTCAACCCACAAAGAACCCCACATCGCGGGTGGGCGCTGTCTCTAACCCAGAGCAGTGGAAGTTCTTGACAGCTTTCCCAGAAGGTGCCTGATTTCATTTTGTAAAGCCCGTCTGGCGCCCTTGAGGGGCTTCATCTGGAGAGGAGGCAGATCACAGAGGCCACAAGATGGAAAACAGCTGGCCTGGCGGCAGTTGGCCACCTTCAGGCGCCAGCACCTGCCATCCAGGTGGATGTCCTTCAACTGTCTCCGGCCCCCCACGTTTGCACAGGTGAAGATGGACCCACCGTAGCCTTCCGGCTTCTTGTGTGTGTTTTGGGGGCACTGGGGGGGGGTTTCAGTCCTCCATGTCTCTGAGTTGTTGGAGACATGGAATGTCGGGGCCTCTCCTGGCGTGGGTGCAGGCTAATGTTAGTGGGAGGAATTTTCTGGAATGGGTGCTGTACTGGGGCGGTGTTTATGGGGCGGTGCCCCTTGCCACGCCGAGGGCTGTGGAAAGGGTACTTGGTGCGGGCGCTGCCTGCTCGTCTCACATTGGATTTGTGCCTTATTCTTATTTTACTCCAAATTAAAGCCAGTGGGGATATTTGTTCCAGCCAGGTCCTATGAGTGGATTCACGCCTGGGCGTCAGAAATGGCACAGCTGACGTTTGGAGGAGTAACAGTGTAACCCTGCAGTTAACATAGGATTTATTTCAAGAAAAGAAGTCCCTCTTCCCCAGCCTGGCAGCTCTGACTCTCCCCCTCCAGGGACCCCTCGGATTGATTATTGTGCAGCCACCTTTCAGGCTCCCAGCTCCCCATCAGTTCCCGCCTGCTCCCCCTCTGTGGGGCTGTGGGAGGGAGCCCCATCCCATAGGGATTCTGAGATGGGATTGTTAAAATGACCCCCTCTTTTGGAAAACTGTATTCTCACGCTCCCCGGATCTCCTTTCTATCTCATCAAAGACCCCTTTCCCCTGGGAAGTGGGGGTCGTATGGGGAAACAGTGTTCTCTGACATGCAGTCCCCCTGCAACTGGGACCACAGATGTTTTTAAATCAGAAGAAAAAAGCAAATTTGAGCTTGGGTTAAAAATAAATTCCATCTGCCCCCCCAGGAGCCCCCGGGGCTGCTGCAGGAGGATTCTGGACAGGTGGGGGATTTTCAATGGCACTTTCATCTTTCTGGTGTTCGTCCTGCGTCCGCGGGGATTTCATAAACATTATGTTGCTCAATTTCAGTTCAATGCCACGGAGTCGTTCCAATGTGTTCTAATTACTCAGACATAAATGATTTCTGGTGCACTTTAAATGATTTCGGATGCACTTTTGTCTATCAGGCTGCTGATTTATAACTCCCCGGGACTTTGAAGCTGTGCTTCATTGATTTCTTCTAAGGCTCTTCAGAGGTATATTTATTATAGACGATACATTTCCCTGTTCATTTGCTCCATAATTCTGAAACAGTCTCATTTTCTACTTGTCAACACTCCACCCCTACCTACCCCCGTGCGGATACTGCACCGGCAGTGAGAGGCACATAGATTGAGCGCCTACTGAATGGAGCCCGTGCAGAGGCTGAGGGTGAGTGGAGGCGCACGCATTACATAGAGCACACTCCTGCTGGGGGCTTCCTCGCCATTCAGGCCGACACCCCAGGGACACGCGGGGAGAGACTTCGGCGAGGAGTGAGGAGAGCTGGGTGGGGCGGGGGCGAGTGACCTGTGGTGCTGGTCCGGAGGAGCGGACACGGACACCGCGGCGGGCTGACCCGGCGGTGAGGGGGAGCCTGGCCAGGCTGGTCGCAGGGTCTTGGGGTCGCTGCTGAGCATCCTTGAGCCTGGTGTCTAGTGTGTAAAGTGGCGTGCTTAGTATTGCCACGCAGGGGCCGCCCCGTGTTTCGTGGACCTAAAGCTTAATCCATTTGAGGTGCACCTTCAAGAAAGAGAACCCCCAGTGAGTGCCATGGGGGGCACTAGGGTTAGGATTAGGGTCTTGAAGGCTTTTTAAATGTTGGACTGTTGTTCCTCCACATTTTTTTGTGGCATGGCTGCCCAGGGTGTGAAGTGGTAACAGTGGTTCTTCAGTGACTGGGGACCCTTCCTGCCCTCCTGCTCCCGCCCTCAGACTGGGCTCTGGGGTGCCTCCCCGGGAACCCCGTTCTGTAATCGCTGCCCAGGAGGGGTTGGGTCTGAACTCACCCCTGCTCCCCGCTCCTCACTCAGGATGTTTCTTGGGGAGCATCTCAAGGCAAGCCCGGCCCCCAGAGAGAGAGAGAGAGCGTAGACCTGCCCATGGGCAGACTGGGTGCCGGCTCTGCCCACCCGAGCGCCCCGCGCCCCGGGGGCTGGCTCGGTCCGGCCAGGCCCGACTCTCCAGAGTCCCGGCCTCAGCCTCGGTTCCGCGGTGCGAACCCGGCGCGGGACGGCGAGGCGCACACGCCACCTGGTGGCCGTTTCCAGGAACTGCCGCCCCGGGCTCCCCGCCCCTGGCGAAGCTTCTGCCTGGGCAGGGGAGCGGGGGTCGCAGCCCCACCTGCTCCCCCAGGGCCTTGGCAGGACTGACCCTTGCTGCCTCCGAGCAGGAGTGACTCATCCAGATCGCCGCCCCTCTCCCGCGGAGACACCGCCTCGGGAACACTGAGAGATGCGCTCCCAGAGGACTGGCCGCCTCCCTGCTCCCTGGTCCTCACTTTCCTGCCTGCCCTGACTCCCCTCCTCTTCCTCGGGTCCCCCTCCTCCCTCTTGCTGCCAGTGCCCCACCTCCTCCTTCCTCCCCCTCATCTCCACCCCCTGTTCCCTCTGCCTCTCCCCCCCCCCCCACCTTGGCTCAGCCAGCCTTCCTTTCACTAAACAAGCACTTTTGGTGACTCCATTATTTGGTCCAGGTGGAGTAGGGGCCGGCCGCTCAGTTAGAGGCCAGACCATGAGCCCTGCTGTGATGCCAGCGGCTGAGCTACCCCCACACATGCTGCACGAGTGCCCGCGACCGTTCATGGAGCACGTGCAGACTCAATAGATGCATGTGAGGTCAGCTCCGCGCCACGCACTGTGCAGGACACAGGCTGGGCTCCCGGGTTGGCGCTGGGGACTTTGCACAGGCATCCCGGCCCCTTCCCTGCCTTGGATGCCCCGTTCACTTTTCCCGCCCAGGTCAAATGTGGGCCTAAGAAGGAGCTCTGAGTGCTCATCCCCCATCCGCCCAGGCTCTCTGTGAGATTTCTGCTTGTTTCCTTTGATCTCAGTCCCCAGGCAGGCCAGCCAGTCAGCCTGTGCTGCGTGACTCCCCGGAGGCCTGCTCCTCCCCCAGGGCGCCCAGCGCCCACAGCAGCCGGGCGGGCAGGGATTGGCCTTACCAATCCCCTCCTAATAGAGTTTTCTTTATTCCTAGGGATTTAGAGAAAATGAGTTGTTCTGAGCACTTACTCCTGGATGTCTTGCTCTGCCTGGGTCCGGTGTTGTGTCCTTTGCTCTGTATTCCCAAGCTCCTGCCCCGCAGGGGCAAGCAGGCTGCGGGGGTGTTTGCCATCACAGAGCCCAGGCCCACCAGGGGACACCAGCACCTACAGCTGTCCTCAGCAGCGTCACACTCTCAAAGCGCCAGGGTGGAAGTGGGTGTACAGCAGGCGCTCAGTCTGTGGCTGGCAGTTAGAAAACGCAGGGCGTGACTCATGCCCCTTCAAGGACGTATCTTAAGTGCAGCGCTCCATGGATTTGTACACGGAGACCCCGCACCCCGATCAGGGTATGAACACCCTACCCTGGGTGGTTCCCGGTCCCCTTCTGGTCACAACACCTCCCTTCCAGAGGCCCCCACGCATGCTCCATCTTTGGGTTTATCGGCTTTGCGCTTCAGAGTAATGGAACCCCGATGTGTTTTGCGCAGCCATGTCCCTGAGCATCATCTGTGCTGCAAACTTGCTCGTGGAGCTGGCCGCCCACACCAGACTTCGCAGTGGGGCAAAGGGAAGGCGAGCCGGGGTCCTGCTGGGTCGGGTCACGGGCCCCAGCCTCCTGTGGCTGCTGGCGGGCTCCAGGGAGCCAGAGCACCCACGATGGGGCCGGGGATGTTGGGTCCATGGTGGAGACTGGCTCCTCCCTGACATTTGCTCTGTGATGTTGGGGCACGGCGTCCTGAGAGGGTGTGTGGCCCTCACCCTGGGCAGGACAAGATCCCTGAGGTGTTCCTTGGCCTGCAGTTCTGGGTTCACCATGTACCTGGGCGTGCGGGCGCTGCGGAAAGGGGAGTTCACCCACCGTCCCAGCGGGTCCCTGGCCCTGAGACTGCCCCTTTGGGAAATGATGTTGGCCCGGCCCCGCCCCACTGAGGAGTCCCAGGGCCGGCGGGGCCGGCGGGACCAGCCGCCCTGGAACAGGTGGCCGCGTGCGGGGCGGGCAGTGCCCACGCAGGGCCATGTTCGACACGAGATTAGCAGGCTCCGGCGGGAGGCCGGGCCCCTGGGGCTGGGACTAGATTGCTTGGCGAGGTAAGCTCTTGATTTCCTGACCTCATCTCTCGCCCCAACCCGAGACTTCACTCACAATCCAGGTTGTTAACACGGAGAGATCTTATCCTGTTAGCCTTTCACTCCGGAGAAATTGGATTGAAAATCTTGCCAGACTGCCCCTGGCCAGAGCCTCTCCATCAGCTGCCGGTGACCCTCCGGCAGGCGGGCAGGAGGGAGACTTTGCTTTTCTTTCCACACCATTAGCAGGCAACGGGAGGGGGGGGGGCCCTCCCGCCGGGCCTGGCCGCTGTCAGAAACTCCTGGTGAGTTGTTCCTGCCAGGAGACTGCTGCCTGACCCGGCCAGGCCCGAGAGAGCCCCCCGGCCTGTGCTGAGCTCCCCCAGCAACGGTGCTTGGCCTGCAGAGTCTTCATGCAGACGCACATCTGGAGCACAGGATGCTTCTCCAGTGCCCTTCTCCTCAGGGAAGGAGAGGCCTGCTCTGCTGCCCCGTGTCTTTTTCGTGCCGCTGGCTGTTTGTCCCACCTCTGCAGTGTGGCAGGTTCCCGGCGTGCGGGGCTTCCCCGGGACTCCTCCCAGGCCGAGCTCCTGACCCTCTGGGTGGGCCCCATTGCTCATAGCCTGGGGTGTGCCCCAGGACCAGCGAGAGGTGGCAGCGGGCCAAGCTGGAAAGGGATGCTGAGACTCAGTCCTGTTGGCACATCAGGGAGTTGGGAAGGTCAAGGGCGGTTTTATGTCAGCGGGTGGCCTGTGGATGGCAAGGCCCGGCCGCCACGACTCCTGCATCCCTGCCTTTCCCGAGCGGTCCTGCAGCCTGGCGGGG